AGAGAGAGAGAGAGAGAAATCTATAGATACACTCTTTTTAAAATGTAAGTTCTTACTGTGTAGTTCCCACTTGCCTTGAACTCTGAATCTTCCTGCCACCTCCTCCCAAGTGTATGACTGCAGTATGTATCACCATGTCCTGCCCAGCCCTTTTCTGCTGGAATCTAGGCTCTGAGCCTAGAAGTAGTCCTCGTGGTCAGCTTCCATGTACACACTGGGATGACTAGTTTGCTGACTTTCTGAAAGGTAGTGGATCAGAAGCAGCAGAGTTAAAAACTTGTTTATTGGCAAAATAGGTTAGTGGTGGCTTTTAAAGCACGGAGTGTTGGAGGTAAGAGAGAAGTCTTTAGTTGGGTCAACTTTTTCATTAAAATTTCAGGCAGGCGGAACTGGAAGCCGCTGTGCGGAGGAAGATGGAGTTTGAAAGGAAAGCTGTACGTATCGTAGAGCAGCTCTTAGAGGAGGACGTCACAGAAGAATTCCTCAAGGAGTGTGTACGTATTAAATTGTCAGATTACCAGATTTAAATATAACATCTATATTTAAAGATTTCTTTGTGTATATGAGTATTGTGCTTGCTGATCTTGTTTGCCAACTTGATGAACAGAGGAAACCGAGCAGGTAAGTCAAACAAACAGCGGAAGAAGCCTCCCTTGAGGAAATGCCTCCATGAGATCCAGCTGTAAGGCATTTCCTCAATTAGTGATCAAGGCAAGAGGACCCATCCCTGGGCTGTGATCCTGGGTTCTACAAAAAAGCAGCCTGAGCAAGCCAGGGGCAGCAAGCCAGTAAGCAGCACCCCTCCATGACCTCTGCATCAGCTTCTGCCTCCAAGTTCCTGCCCTGTGTGAGTTCCTGTCCTGACTTCCTTTGGTGATGAACAGCAATGTGGAAGTGCAAGCAGAATAAACCATTTTTCCCCCGTTTACTTTTTGGTCATTGTGTTTCATCGTAGCAATGGTAAACTTGACAAGTTGATGCCATAGTGGTGTATTTGCTATGTTTTGGGGAGGACTGTGGAAGGACTTTGGAACTGTGCACTAGAAAAGCCATTGGTTGTTGAGAGCTCAGTGGGATGTTCTGTGGGAGCTTGGAAGATAAGAATGTTGAGAACAGTGTAGATGATGGAGGCCTGACTTGGGAAGTTTTAAAGCCATTTCCTATTTTGGATTAAGATTCTGTGGTTCTGGTTAGCTGGGACAGAAGAGCCAGCTGTGATTAACAAGAGAAGACCAGAACTAGTAAATACTGCTGGGATACTTTATGCTGGTCAGTTGGAGCTGAGAAATTAGCAGTAACTAAGAAGAGACCAACGTTATTGAGGTAAAATTGTCTGGGAAGTGTTTCCTGAGAGCACAGAGAAGCTGTGTTCCATAGGTGACTGTGCTTGTACCTTATACTGGCAGCCAGACTTAGTAATGTGTAAGAGTCACCCAGGTGGAACTGGTTTTGAAGGCATGAAGGAATCATGGAGAGCAGCTGAGTCTTGGTACTATAAGAATCCAGAAAAGGCCATTGGTGAAGATGCAGTCCAAGACTGAAGGGATCATGCAAAGAAGTTGAGGATTGGCACCAGGAAGAGAGCTAGGAAAAGAGCCATTAGTGGAAGTGCCTCTCAGCTGCAGTAGAAGTCTCCAGTGTTTTGGAGATGCCAGTACCATGGGAAGACCACCATGGGACAGCAGCAGCCATGGAGTGAGCAACCTGTATGTGCTACAGAGAGCAGACCTTGAGAGATGACCCAAGCCCTTTGGAGGAGTACAGAAGATTGTGAGTGGATTTCAGACATTGGACAGTTGGAGTTTGATTTTTATTTGATTTGTGACTGTGCCCTGATTTTCCTTCTTGGAGTAAGAAAGTATTTTACTGGATGGAGCCCACAGTATTTCACTGGAGACTTTGAATTTTAAAAGACTTTGGATTTTTAGAGAGATTGGGTATTTTAAAGGGACTGAAATTTTAATGTGTTTCAGTTTGTAAAGACTGTGGGACTTTAAAAGTTATTTATGTTTTTAATGTAAGATTTTGGGGATGGGAAGGAAAGGAAAGATTATGGCTTAATAGTGATGTGTTTGTGTGTCAAGTTGACAAGGGGTCAGTTGTACCAGCTAGTCGTCTGTGTCCACTTGACACAAGCTAGAGTCATCAGAGAGGAAAGAGCCTCAGTTCAGGAAATAATTCCATAAGATCCAGCTGTAAGGCATTTCACAGGGTGATCAGCCCATGATGGGCAGAGCCATCCCTATGCTGTGGTCCTGGTTCTACAGGAAAGCAGACTGAGCAAGCCAGTAAGCAACACTCCTCCATGATCTCTGTATCATCTTACTTGGTGATGAGCAGCAATGTGGAAGTGCAAGCAGAGTACACCTTTTTCTATTGGGTCATGGTGTTTAATAGCAGTAGAAACCTGGACTAAAACCAGAGTCATTGTATGTATGTGCATTAGGAGTGTTCAGTGTCCAGAGTCCAGAAATGGGTGTGAGATCCCTTAGAACTGACATTATAGCTGATTGTGATCTGCCCAACATGAGTGCCAGGAGCCAAACTCAGGACCTCTGCAGGGCAACACATGCTGTCAACTATTGAGCTGTTTCTCCAGCGCCATCTTTTTTTTTTTTTAATGTGTGAATGTGTGGCACATGTGAATGCATACCTGTGGAGCCCAAAAGAGGCCTTCATTTCTTCAGAAGCTGGAGTTACCAGCAGTTGTGAGCAACCTGACATGGGTGATTGAGAACCAAACTCAGGGTGTCTCGCAGAGCACTAAGCATTCCTAACCACTGAACCATCTCTCCAGCCCCCAAATCTAATGTGTTTTAAGTCTATGCAAAATAAAACTTCTTTGCACTATTGAAATCTTTGTTTTTGTTTTTGTTTTTAGTCCTTAGATACAGATAGCATGATGCATGAGAATTTTTTTAAATATACAATAAGATGGCTATAGTTACATATAATGCATATTTAAGTTTATTAATATCTGATTAGTGAAGGCAGCGTACATGCCATGGCCTCCATTTGCCACAGCATGCATGTGGAAGTCAGAAGACAACTTTGTGGATTCAGTTCTGTCCTGAATCCCAGAGGTGGCAGCAGGCACCTTAACCCTCAGAGCCATCATGTCAGATGTCTAAAATGTATGTCAGACCCTTCTTGATGTGCCTTTCCTTCCTGTGCTCCCAGAACTCTCCCAGTCTGTTGGGAAATGCCCTTTCTTTTCTCCCTAGGGGATGTTCATCACGCCAGCTCACTACAGCGATGTTGTGGATGAGAGGTCCATCATCAAACTCTGTGGCTATCCTTTATGTCAGAAGAAGCTAGGAGTTGTAAGTACTTTCCTTTAAAGTGTATTTATTAATTCTTACAAAACATCATAGAATAGTAAGTTAAGCTTGTGGTCATGAACTAATAATAACTTGGATTGGCTAGAAGTATTAATTGTAGATGACTTAATTGTATATGACATAAAGTTTGTGTTCCTTAATTAAATTCCTGTGTAAATTATACTTTATTTTTCTTTAGATACCGAAACAGAAATATAGAATTTCTACTAAAACCAATAAAGTCTATGATATTACTGAAAGAAAGGTAAGTTCAAAGATGTTTAATGTGGCAGTTAATTTTTAAAGGACATTATATAGAACTTTAACTTTCTTACTTTAAAATTTGTCTGTTAGAAAATAGCTATATTTACAGATTGCTTCTATTAAAAGCTAAGGTACTAAGAAAGTTTCTTGCTTGAGCTTCAATAAGACTTGAAGCTAGGAATGGCAGAAACAGGAGAGTCAAGAGTCAGAGTCATTCTCAGCCCTGCAGAAAGTTTGAGGCTTCTCTGGGCTACCTCTCTAGCCCAAAAACGATTTGAACATTTAAAAACACGAAGCACATGTTGGTATAAACACAGGCAGGTAAATCATGGTGAGAATGATTAGCCAGGAGCAGACTGATCACATGTATGGACTCTTGATGTATGGCAACACACGTGTCACAGGTGAGGGAGGAGGGATGGGTTTGAGTAGCCGGAGGTGGCACTGTCAGTCGTCCTGGTAGAAAACATAGGAACTGTTTATCCCAGGCAAAGCGGGTTTGCGGAGGGCTGAGTGGACCACTCGCCACACTGTATAGGAGACTATAAGCCTGGGCAGAAGATTAGACCATAGACGAAAAGTTGATAATCTTCTCTATATTAAAATTTGAGATTTTGTTCATTAGAAAATGAGTAAATAAGAAAAATGTAAAGTTGTATTTTCCACGAGTTGATAGCTAGAAAGTATAGTCTAAAAAATCGGAACACAACCTAATCGGAAACTTTGATATAGTGAATGCACATGGTTAATGAACATACAAAACCGCTCTTCAGTCATTGCAGAAAAAGCCACTCTAAACAGTTCCTTGTACAACCACAAAGGTGAAAATAAAGGCTGCTGTAGCCATCTTGAGAGCCTGTTTTGGAATCTGTTTCACATCATGAAGTGGGGGCAGGCTGGGGCTCAGACTCAGAGCCTCTTACATACTGTAAGGGCTCATCAATGCTAAGTACAGTTACAAGCCCAGAAATGTGTCACATTCTTTGTGAACAAGCCTTTTTATTCTTTGTTATATGCCTTGGAAAAATTGCTTGGCTATGTGTACCAGGGTAAATGTATAAAAATATTCATAACTATAAAATGTGGTATAGGTGTGGCATATAGTGGAATGCTATTCTGAGTGTGAGGAACATGCAGGTAGGTGCCATATAGGATATGCAGTTATAGGTGCTGTGTATGTAACCAGGTAAGTAATGGCCAAAAGGAGTGCTGAAGAGGAAACACAGGAGCCATCAAAAGTGCAGTCCTTTTCTCTGAACCTTGTATGGTAGAAGCCCCTTCTTCACGGTTTGTCTGATTCTTTGATGTGCACATTCATGATCTCTGCATGTAGGTTATGTTTCAAAATAGAAAGATAATGAACTAATTTCCGATTTTTCTTTACAGTCTTTCTGCAGCAATTTTTGCTACAGAGCATCTAAATTTTTTGAAACACAGATTCCCAAAACTCCAGTATGGGTTCGAGAAGAAGAGAGGTAATTAAATCTTTATCTTGTTTATTCCAGTGGTAAGTGACCTTTCTGCTTTTGACACAGACTAGGAGTGGGCGTCATTTTCTGTAGACTGTTATCATTTATTCCCATTAGCTGTGGGGAAATAGTTATACCTTAAGCATAGCTGTTAAGAATTTTTAAATGGAAAGTCATACATGCAAATATTTTTTTTCTCTAATGTACTTTTAATCACAAAATCATTCTGGTTCTTGCTTTGCCAAGAGTGTCTGTGAATCCTGCTAATGTTACAATCCTGAGTTAAAATATTAACTTTTTTCAAAATAATAGCTCTTGGGAATCTGGCCAAACTCACTTTGCCACTATGATAACACATTTTATTACAATAACCGAAGTATCCTGAGTTTAAAGAAAGCCAATTTTAAAAAGTACTGTTTTGCTAAAATGTTTGTGGTCATCATAGGGCTTTTGCCTTGGGAAATAAACACTTGCAGTATTGTACTGACGGAGAATTTGAAGAGATGTAGTAATATAGTGAGTGTGAAAGTGTAGTGGCAAAAGCAACAGTTGTTGTCATTATTAAAGTGAATTGTTTAGAAAGTCAGACAAAGGCTTAATGAGATGAGTGTCTTCCTGAAGGATGTGAACAGATGGCACAAGCCCCATTCTCTGTGGTCAGGCAGTGAAGACGGATGCTAAGTCATTGGACATAGGTGTGAAGAGATGCAGTTGATTCAGAACACACAGGCAGGACATACAGGACTGTACTTTAAGGAGGCCACCACTCCAAATTCTACCACTCATTGACTGTGACGACAGCACTTTTGATGGCGTATTCCTTTGTTATCCTTCCTGTGCAAAACCTACTCACCAGTCCCTGGTGAGTCCCTGGGCCTAGCCTGAGTGTAATAAGGACTAAGTTGACTGTTTCACCACTATCTGTAAGATTTCTTTTTCAGAAGATTAAAAACAGCAACATCCAAGGTAAATGGGGGCTCACATTTTTTCATTAATTTGTTTATTCATTTTACATCTTGATCACAGCCCCCCTTCAACTCTCCTCCAACTCCCACCCTCGTAAATCCTGGCCCCCATTACCCCCTCCCCTTCTTCTCAGAGAAGCGGAAGCCCCCCCACCTTGGGTACTCGTCCACCCTAAAACATTAAGTCAAAGCAAAACTAGGCACATCTTCTGCCACTGAGGCCCAACCAGGCAATCCAGATAGGGAAGGGGGTCCAGTGGCAGGCAGCAGAGTCAGAGCAGCCCTGCTCTAATTGTGAGGGGCCCCACAGGAAGACCAAGCTGCACATCTGCTTCAAATGTGTAGGGGGCCTAGGTCCAGCCCCGTCATGCTCTTTGGTAGTGTTTCAGTCTCTCTAGCCCCCATGAGCCCAGGTTAGTTCACTAGGTAGGTCTTGTGTCCTTGACTTCTTTGGCTTGCTCAGTCTTATTCCCTACTCTACCACAAGACACCCTGAGCTCTGCCAGATGTTTGGCTGTGGGTCTCTGTATCTGTTTCCATCTGCTGGTGGATGAAGCCTCTCAGGAGACAGTTATGCTGGGCTCCTGTCTGCAAGCATGGCAGAGTATCATTAATAGTGTCAGGGGTTGGCTCTCTCCCATAGGTTTGGGCTCAAGTTGGGCCAGTCATTGGTTGACTGTTTCCTCAGTCTCTGCTCCATCTTTTTTTTTTTTTTTTGATATTTTTTATTTATTTTATATGTTTTCTCCCTTTACCCCATCTCCCACCCACCCGGGAACCCCCCCTCCCCCCCTTACCCCTCCCCCTTCTTCTCTGAGGATATACCCCCCCCTAACCCCCCCCCCCACTCCCCCACCCTCAACATTCCCCCCCCGGGGCGTCCATCTTTATCTGCTCCATCTTTATCTGCTCCATCTTTATCCTTTTGCATTTTATAGGCAGGACATTCTGAGTTGAAGATTTGTAGGCGTATTGGTGGGGACTCACACTTTGATCTTGTCACCCTCTGCCTTGTGCTTCGCTGTTTCTCTCAGCAGAACTGCCATCACTGAGATGATCTCAGCAGAAGCAGCACATTCCATTTCCACTGAGGAACACCAGTCGGCTTGCATTATTCTTGTCTTTTATTTACAAACACATCTTCTCTACTTGTTGACCCTCTATAGCATTCGTATATCTACTTCAAAACCATTTACTAAGCACACATGATAGTGTGTGCCTGTAACCCCCACACTCAATGCCACGAAGCAGGATTCAAGGGGGCAGAGCTCACAGCCATCCTTTACTGTATAGTAAACTCCAGGCCAGCCTGGTGGATGTGAGACACTGTCCTAAGGAAAGAAAGGGAAGGCTTTACCGACAAGCCATCCTGCCAGCTCTTTTCCTCAGATGTAGTTCGTGGCACTTAAATGATCTTTTCCTAAAGTCTCACCCTCTCTGTTCAGAACTTTTCTTTCTTTTTTTTTAAAAATTGGATATTTTATTTACATTTCAGATGTAACTCCTTTCTCCATTTCCCCCCATCTAGGAACCTTCTATCCCATCCCCCCTCCTCCTGCTTCTATGAGGGTATGCCCCCACCCATCCTCCCACTCCCACCTCCCCACCCACGATTTCCTCCACACTGGGGCGTCCAGCCTTCATGGGACCAAGGGCTTCCTTACCCACCTATGCCTGACACTGTCATCCTCCCCTGCACATACAGCGGGAGCCATGGATCCTCCCTGCATGCTCCCAGGCTGGTGGAGCCGTGGGTCTTTCCCTGTGTGCTCCCGGGCTGGTGGGTTAGACCCTGGGAGCTCTGGTTGCCAGAACTTTTTTTTAAGAACTTGAAGGCTTGATGTATGTCACTTTATGTTGGTGATTGTTAACCTTTTTTACATTTTTAGTGAAAGAAAAAAGGTGAAAATAGCCCTTTATTCCTCTAATCTAGACAAATGCCACTAATTTACAGAGTATGCAGTATTCACTTAGTACCTGGCAAGGCGCATGCACATGCATCTTCATGTTACCATATATGTACCTGGCAAGACACATACATGCACATGCATATTCATGTCAAAGTATATGTACCTGGCAAGATACAGGTATACACATGTGTATTCCTGTCCCCATGTACCTGGAAAGACACATGCATGCACATGCATATTCATGTGCACACATAAATCTCAACCTATAAGTTTAATTGTAATTGAGATAACAGAATAAATACGTTAATGAGACAATATTTAATATGAGTGTGTGTAAGGTGAATTTTGTGACATTACTTAATGACAAACTGTAAACAAGAACTGCTGGGTGTTGGTTGGCACTGCGCTCACTCGCTGGAGTGACCTTCCTGCCGATGTATCACTTTCCATTTGTCAGTTACCAACATTGACTATAATCTGAGAATATTAGATAGAAGATTCCAGAAATAATTTTCAAGTTTTAAATCGTAAAGCATTCTGAATAGCACAATAAAAAGCTCACACCATGTTGCTCCTCCTTGCTCTTCCAGGGTGTGAATCATTTTTCCAAAGTAATCACAGTGTGCACATGTTCACCTGTCAGTCACTTTACGAGCGACACAGGAAAAGAACATAGTGTAGTAAGGTTTGGCACTGTTCCTGATTTTAATATATTTAAGTATGTTCCTGATATTTAATAATCTGAGTGTGTGTAAGGTGAATTTTGTGACATTACTTAATGACAAACTGTAAACAAAAGAAGGAGTCTTGGGTGTATCTCTCATGGATTTTAGGACACTACCGTATGTCATGGGAAAACAAGATCATAACAGACAAGAAAAGCCAGGCTGAGTTCGATGTAAGAAGATGCTCTCAAGTATTTGTCTTGCAATGCTGAGCATTGAACTTGGGGCCTTTTCATGCTCATCAAGTGCCCAACAGCTACACTCAGGACACACAGTTTTTTGAGCAGAACCTGATCTGACATTGCTCTACATAATGAATTGAAAGAGAATCATAAAAGCTTAAAGACGCACAGAGTCAGTCTAGTCCCTTTGTACCTTTCAAAATTAGAGCATATTTTATAAGCTAATGATGGCTTCTGAGTGAGGTCAGGATTCTTCTCATTGTAGTCAGCGTGATTAATGGAAGTTCGTGAAGGCTCAGTCTACACAGGCGTCTTCCCCTTGATACTGTCTAACCAGATCCTCTGCTGGGTCTGACTCTTGCTGCTTTTAGAACTGTATCATACCTTGGAGACAGTGCTGCCTTAATCTCTAGATAGTGTGGCTATGCTGTTATCCAGTCAATCCACTAGAGGTCACTGGTGTCACTGAGCTGGTTTCTAATGTGCTGCTGCATTTTAGAAAAAAATAGCAGTCCTTAGTGTTTAATGTAGAGATTTTTATTTTAAATTATAAGCATAAATTGCATGACTGTGATTTAATAGACAATTTAAAATAAAAATTTTAAATCCATTTCAAGTAAAAAATAACTTATTACAATGAATTATAAACTTTTAAATTAATACATCTTATAGTCTGACATAGCATATAACTTTAAAAATAGTCATTAAATGTCTATTTTCTGCCATTTTTATGTCATATTGGTCATGTGTCTTGTTGTCACCCGCTGTTTGAAGAGCGGTTTTATTTACTCCAGCTCAGGGTTTCAGTAATGTACTAGAAAACTATCTTTCAGCCCCAGACCACGGTTCCTCATTTGTAAAAGTAGAAGTTTGCATTTGTTTTAGTCACATTCTGGTCAGTGATCGGCAACAGATGAGGTAGACTTGAGCTGTCTTGTTATAAGCTCTGATTTAAGAATGTAGACAAACTGGAATGTTTTTGTTTATAAAGATAAAGGCTGATGGAGGACTGCGTCAGAGTTTTAAATGAGAAGAAAAGCCAGGGGAAATTTTTAATGTGTTTTAACCCTGACACATTATGGTCTTATACACCAATAGGAAACAGAATATTAAATTTGACTTGATCTCAAATAGATTAGTGCGAATACAAGGATAAATTTGTTAGATTTTAACATCTCCAAGCCTTGTATCAGATTTATAACTCTGTGCCTTAATTAAGTTTAC